ATGCCTAGGTATATTACATGGTAAAAACCGACATCTCTTAAAAAAGCTAGCAATGATTTATGGGTGAAAAGTGGTTCCCTACCGACAAACATTGCGGGGTGTAATGGTATATGTTGTCGGTAGGGTAATAGAAAGTGTTGTCTTCTTAGAGTGTCTAATTGTTTACACTGAATTAAAACGTGAAGAACTGTTAATGCCTCACCACATCTGTCACACAATGGTGGATCGCCACCGGACAAAAGATATGAGTGTGTCATGTATGTGTGTCCTATCCTGAGCCTTGTTAGTGTTACCTCTGTTAGACGTTATTTTGATACTGGTGGCAATTGGCCAAGGTGTGGCTTGATAACGTGTAGCCTGTTTTGTGTGTGTCTATCCCACTTGCTCTGCCAGTAGTCCCTGAGCTTTCGTTTGAGAGATGGCTTAAGATCAAGGGGCGGGATCGATATGGGTGTAGTGGCACTGATTTCGTGGACAGATGCCGCAAGCTGATCCGCCATCACGTTGCCTTGGATCTCACGGTGGCCTGGCACCCAGCACACTACAACATGTTGTTTGAGTGTGTAGAGTGTGCATAAAATAGAGTAAAGTGAGACGAGGACAGGGGTTTTTTTTTTTGTTTTTTAAGACTGTGCAGAGCCGTAACCATACTGAGGGAGTCTGTATAAATTACTGCTTTTTGTATTTGTGATTGCTTGATGTGTTTAGCCGCCACAAGTATCGCGTAAGCTTCCGCTGTGAAGATACTTGTGCCTGGATGTAGAGGGCCAGCATCTGAAAAGGATGGGCCGACAGCAGCGTAGGACACGGAGGAGTTAGACTTGGAGGCATCTGTAAAGAACTCAGGACGTGTGTATTTGTGTTGAAGTTCCAGGAAGTAGTTTCGGATATGGGCAATAGGTGCATGTTTTGTAACTTCTAGGAAAGACACATCGCAGTCTATAATCTCCCACTGCCACGGTGGCGGGTATACTACAGGAGCCATTAAACTATGTTCAAGTGACACTCCAGTTTCCTCAGCTAGACCCTTCAGGCGAACTGAGAAGGGCTGCCTCATCGAAGGCCTGTTTCGAAACAGAATAGAGCTCGACAAATCATTAATAGTGGAGTATGAGGGGTGCTTTTTGTCTGCTTTCACCTTAAGAAAATATACAAAAGATATGTAAGTTCTTTGTAGATGAAGCGACCATTTATTTGACTCAACGTAAAGGCTTTCTACAGGGCTGGTGCGAAAAGCACCCGTGGAAAGGCGGATGCCAAAATGGTGCACGGGATCCAGCATCTTCAAAGCACTTCGAGTTGCAGACTGATAAACAACGGCCCCATAATCTAAGCGGGTGCGAATGAGGCTTCTATACAGGTACATGAGACATTGCCTGTCACTACTCCACGTAGTACGTGACAACACATTTATAACATTCATGGCTTTTAAACATTTTGTTTTTAAATACTTGATGTGTGGTACGAAGATCAACTTGTTGTCCAAGATTAAGCCTAAGAATTTATGCTCCGCATTGACAGACAGACGTTGACCGTTCAGTTCAATGTCAGGTTGTGAGTGCAGGCCTCTCTTTAGGGAGAACAAGACACACGTGCTTTTTTCAGGGTTCAGCCGGAATCCGTTTTCCTCTGCCCATTTGGAGACCTTGTTTAAACCTAACTGAACCTGCCGCTCACACATTGCTAGGTTGCTAGGTTAAAGCTCTCAAGGTTTTCCGCTGTCAGCGAGTTCCGAAGCAACCTCCATGCCCTGTTCTGTTCCTTTCGTGCATGCTGACACTCAGTGTTCCACTATGGGATGTGTCGTTTGCAGGGCAGTCCAGATGTTTGTGGAATGCACTTGGCTGCTGCGTCAATAAAAAAAGCCGTGAAGTACTGCACAGCTTCATCTATGCCTAATCCGCATATGTCAGTCCAACTTAAGTGAGTAATCTTTTGAAATTGTTCCCAGTCGGCTTTGTTTACCAGCCATTTGGGAACATGTGGAGGACATTCATATATTATTGGTGTACTCAAAACTAAAGGAAAATAGTCACTTCCGTATGGATTATTTATGACTTTCCACTGAAGTAATGGTACAAATGAAGGAGATGCGATACAGAGGTCTATAGAAGGGTAAGTTTTGTTGGCAACGTTATAGTATGTTGCCTCTTTCCTATTCAACAGACAAGCACCTGATGAAATGAGGAATTGTTCAATGAGACGACCTCGTGCATCACAGCGAGAGTCACCCCACAGACCATTATGTGCGTTCAGGTCCCCAAGGACCAGATGAGGTTCAGGTAGTTCATCTATTAAAGACTGGAATTGAAGTTTTTCAACATGGTGGTGCGGAGGTATGTACAAAGAGCAGACTGTGACGAGTTTGTTTAGAATAACTGCTCGGACAGCCACCGCCTCAAGGGAAGTTTGAAGGGGTAATTGTGTACATGCTATACCTTGACTAACTATAACCGCTACACCACCGGATGGTGGCATGGCATCATCTCTATCCTTTCGGAAGATTACATAGTTACGTAAAAAGTTTCTGTTTGTTCGTTTTAAGTGTGTCTCTTGTACACACAGCACTCTAAGATTGTGTTCATGGAGGAGTTCTTGTAAGTCATCGAGGTTTCGAAGAAGGCCTCGGATGTTCCACTGTAATATTTCTGTCTGCATATTTAAACAAGAGAGATGCTGCTGTGTGTACAAAGAGTATCCTGTGTTGGAGTGAGCTCGTTAATTCAGGTGGCAGGACGGTCATCCGGCCCCGTTATTGGTTTTTTATTTTTCTTGGCACGCTCCAAGGAGCCACGCCACACTTTTGGTACCAAGGGTACCGTTGTATCCATAGCCTCCTCAGAGGAACTGGGTACCCGCACATGCGAGCTGGTGGTTCGGATTTTAGGCCTCGCCTGGTGAGGGGAGGCCTTGAGACCAGAGGACCCTGGAGTCTCCGGCCTCAATTCGCTAGGAGGCGGAGTAGACTTAACTACTGCCGCCTTGGGGGCAGGCGCCACAGCCGACGGCTCGCTCTGCGCTGGCCGAAGGAGTGGCGAGGGCTGGTGTGGCGTTGCCCCCTGACGCGCCGCATCAGCATATGTAGCGCCATAAAATGGCGACACTCTTCGTCTTGCTTCTTTGAATGTGATATTTTCCTTAATTTTCAATGTGATTATTTCTTTTTCTTTTTGCCAAAATGAACAAGACCGTGAGTATGCGGCATGATTTCCGCCACAGTTCACACAGTGTGATGGTTCTTCGCAATTGTCAGAATTGTGGCCCGACACTCCACATTGTGCACAAGTTTGGTGACCACGACAGCTTTGTGAGCCGTGGCTATACCTCTGGCATTTAAAACAACGACGTGGATTAGGTATGTATGGTCTGATCGACGTCTTCGTGTACCCTGTTTGAATACTTTCTGCCAGATTACTGGAAGCGAACGCGAGTATTAGGTGTTTTGTTGGTGTTACCTTGTTGTCTCTTCTAATGATGATCCTTTGTACATTGGTCACATTCTGACTCTTCCACCCCTCCAGAAGTTCCTCTTCGGTCAAGCCGAGCAAATCAGCATCAGATACTACTCCACGGGTTGTGTTCATAGATCTGTGTGGCGTTACAGTGATCGGAGTGTCACCAAAAGTTGAAAGATTCTGTAGCTTCTTAAACTGTTCTTTTTCTCGAACTTCAAGGAGGAGGTCTCCGTTGGCCATTTTGGTAACTTTGTACCCGCTCCAAGAGTTTCTGTGAGACATCTGGCTACTACAAAGGGGGATACAGTTCTGGCTTGCTTGCTACTTATCTCACTATGCATAACATGAAAATGGGGGAAGTTTTCATTTGATCGGTTAAAAAAGCCTAAGTCAGGGTTAACCCTAGCCACCAGGAAGTTTGGAAGTAGACAGAAGAGAGTAGAAGACAGGACAGATAAATAGTGAGAGATAAAGACGAAGATGTAGGGAGAGAGAGATAGGAAAAGGCGACTGCCGATTTCCCCTGGGTGGGTCAGCCCAGGGGTGCCGTCTACGTGAAGCCGGGACCGAAGGGGTGTGTTGCCTCTGCCGGGGGGCCTTAAAGGTCCAATCACCCAGCGTCGGCTCAATCCCCAGGATCCCCCTTTCCCCGGACACGGCAAAGCCGTGCACGGCTAGGCGTAGGAGGGAGTAGAAACTCCCCCATTAGCTCGGGTCCGTGGTGTCGCTACACACCAAACGCCTACTTGCGCAGGCGCCCTTGCGGGGATGAACATTGTGGTAAAACAAGTTTAGACGAGGTGTTATCTGTATATTTATAGTCTTGTTGCGTGTGCTGTTTCTACCAAAATGAATTTTTCATTTTCGTGTTTCTTTTTCGGGATTTAGCGTTGTATTACCTTGCGGCATGGACACCCAGCCACCCGAATTCATAGTACTAATGAATCACGCAGCAAGCAAGCATTAGTGTAAGTGGGTTGTTTCACCATAGAAAACATATAAAAGTTGACAGTGCAGCAGTCTCTCATTGTTAAAACTGACATAGCGATAAAACTGGTATCGTAAGTGAGTTTGACTGTAGTACATTGAGAAACTACGTACTGCGCACAACCCTGCAGCCTCACAAAACATGGCCCCAGCACAACACATCTGTCATACTAAGCACTATGGTCACCAAGTATCCCGCTTTCCTGAACATTTTATCCTGCTATAACTGTCCAAAGTTAAGGCGTTTACTGACATGGAACACAGCGACCATGGAGCAAGAAAAATACAGGAAGAGAAACCAACTTATCTATGTAGTGTTGCAAAAAGCCACAACTGCTCCAAGCATCAGAGCCAAACAACACGATGGCATCTATTGATTTTGTAATGACAGCAGTGGACACTTGTGCTTTGTGACACGACGCGCTGAATGTTTAGGCCTCCCCTCCACACTTCTGTAAATAAGACAGTATCAGAATGTTCGCATGTGGTTGTGACAGTGTTAAGTTCACCCATCCACACATTCTTTCCCCACGGCCATGTTTGAAGAGCAAAGTGTACCTGGTGAGAGCCGAGCACATTCTGGATGGTGGCAGGTGGCTTGAGCTGAACAAACCAGTGTGCCAGCAAAGCACCAGTAGCAACCATTAGGCCCACCCTTGTCAAAGCACCAGCAAGGCCATTGGAAGACCGTGGTGGCCAAGCACACCAAGTGAGCAGTAAGGCACAGCCACTTGCAACCAAAACTCGCTCAAGGCCCCACGACTCCGGGTCGGAGGGGTTTTTTTGTAGCAGGCTCTCCTCACATGGCTGACCCAGGTGCTCTTCCCGGCAGCGCCAGAACAGTGCTGAAAGCCTGCGCACAAAAGTCCATAGGCTTGCTCACTCTGTTCACGCAGCTCTAGAACAAAGTCTAGTAGTCTCAGAAGAAATACAAAAATGATGACATTAAAGAAACAGTAAAGTCAAATAACAATTTATGTCAGAGTGAAAGCTCAATGTAGGAGTACGTTTAAAATGACAATATTATCAACAGCAGTGCCCTACTTATTGAGAAATTAAGGTAAATGCACAAGAACACATGCACCACGAGTAGGACATTCGCAAAATGATTCCAATGACATCAGACTAACCACCTACAATTAATCATTAGTAATCTAACTAGCTGCACCAAAATAAATATGAACCTTCCGTGCATTAAGGGATGTAATAAAATGCTGCTTGTTTGTTTCTGTTTGATTCATGGAAAAAAAACTGCCGGACGTTTCTATGGGGAATGGCCCGAGTTGTTTGAAAGTTCAATTTTTGCTGGTTAAACTGGACAGGCTGTGCCATCTAGAGGGGCCCAGTTGAACCAAGAACGCCTACCATCTCAGAGGCCATGGTTAAAAACTGTTCGATGGCTGTTGTTGATGCTGTGGCTCCCGCTACTTTCGCTCTCCTGCTACTAGCGTTGGAGGCTGCGCAGTAAAGCCGGGCAACGTTGTGCACGGCAACAGTGATGCGAGATGGCCACTTTCAGACAGGGGATCTGAAGTCCACTAATGTGATTCAGACCACTAAACATGGTTTTATTTCAAAATAAGCACTTCCTTGGCACAAAAATAGCACTACCAGGTTTCTGAACCGCTATTTCAGCAATCAACATCGACTTAATATTTGCCTTTAGTGTCCCTTTTAATACTGATTTTACAGGATATCCTGAGGTTGTTAGTTAAAAAAAAAAAGAGAGAAAGAACGCGTCACAAAGATCAGTGAACTCATTAGAGTAACTACCTGCATGCTGTGATGAAATACTCGACTTTTGATTAAATTAATGCATACAGCTCAAGAACGTCCAGCGCCATTTGTTTTGGTGGACGTGTTGTCTCTTATGCAATAACAAAAAACTTAAAAGAGGCACCTACTGCTACTCTGGCATACTCTAAGATAGCATTTAGCAAAGTATAATAGCTGACCACCAATAGCAATTCGTCTAACCAGTCTACAGTTCCTTTAGCTCCATTTTTTATTACAAATTATAAATACCCTGAAGAATGCATGCCAAAAAGAGCTGAAGCTATTGTATCTTCCTTTCAACCGAACCAAAAAAATTGTTATGCGTAACTTTCTTAACTGTTTCAGCTTTCCTTCAGCCCTATAGGGAACCAGCACTGGAGTTTCCACGACTACTCTGGCTGTGAAAGCGCGCACTTCGTAGCTGCTCCCGCAGACGAGAGTGGCGACTGGTAGAGGCAGTGCACGCGCGCATGGCCATAACAAAGCCAAAGGACACTGGTGGTGCTGCTGCGTATTCAAGTGCAGCAATATATAAAAAGAGGGAGGACGTATTGAGGAAAGGGAGGGGATAGAAAAAGGAGGTGGCGTTGCATCCAAGCAGTCAGGCGAGGAAGGAACCTAGTCGGTTTCGAAACGTTGGGTTTCTTCAAAACTTTTGGTTGGAGTCTAAATCATCTCCCTGTTTCATACCCAACTAGACAGATTTCTGTCGAATGTTTACATTCGAGCAAAATTTCGCTCTCACTCTCCTGTTTAGTCCTGTTGGGCTCATTTCTAAACTGAATGGTGCGTGTCGGCTATATTTATTCGATAGTGAAGACAGCCACCAGTGGAAACCAGGGCCAAACAGTCGAGTTTAAATGGCATTTTGCCGGAAATAAAGCGAGCGTATTATGCAACATACAATATATGTAAACTTTTTTTTTATCTGACCCGCTGAGCGTTGAGTCGTGCACTTCAGGACTAACAAAGTTTCTATGCGTCCATCCATTTGACCACCACGACCAAACTCTATCTGATGCCACCGCGTAAAAGAAATAATACGATAGACAGAATGTCGTTTTTTTTTAAACAGTTGTGTAAAGGAAAGCTGCCTTGTCTATAAGACTTGTGCGGGGCCACGTTCGCCTATGCCTCTGAGCTGTTATAAAAGATAATCTTGTGGTGAACACTCGATGCCGAGATGCCTCTGTTTAACTTAATTTTGGCAAAAGACAGGGTTCTTGTTAAGAACAAAGGAGCGGACTACTCAAAGCTTAGCTTTCTGGAGTCAGCCAATGCGATAAGCGTTTTTCTCACTGACTGCCGTGGCTAAGTAACATCGAAATTGATGCCTTGCTAGAGAAATAGCAAATGTCTTTGATTTTTACTCATAGTTTACTTAGCCTAACACACAGTTTCAGTTTTTCTGCTTGTCTGTGTCGGCCTAAAATGAAGGTGCCTGTTCAATATCGATATTTCCTATGCTTTCATGTGCCAAAAAAAATATTTTGAGGCACGCTGTAGTGTGCGTATCAAGATTGTGACCGCTTGGGTTCTCTAATGCACACTGTTTCAATCGGCGAGCCAACCCTTCGCGGCGAGCGCCGTGACAGAAGAAGGCAGCCGCCTCGTTAAGGAGCATGAAGACGCCCGGCTGTTTCTCATGTACTGGGAGGTGCGTGGTTGCCATTACTCCACGCAGCAGTATACAGTCGCTTGTGCCAGTGCGGAAATGCGACAAGTGGTGCCTTTGTACACCGAGGCCGCGACGCCGAGTTTCCGCTAAAGATGAAACTGGGACCACCACGCTTTGTGTCTCTGGCTGAGAAGTCACTGGCACTCAAATCAACACCAGATGTGCAAACACATGCCATTGGAGTTGCCTGGCCTGCGACCACCATTCGACAGTGTGGGTGGTCGGCCCGAGCAGTGACACGACAGACTCGTTGCATCTCGTTTGCTGGCGGCATGCTTCCCCGGATGCGACAGCGTGGCCGGAACAATACACGTTTTGTGTTGTGTGTGTGTGTCTGTGTGTGTGTGTCTGTGTGTGTGTATATATTGGGGGCCGTGCCGGCAAAATGACCCTCAACAGTCGTAACCTGATTGGGTGAAAACGACTTTCCCCGTTTCCCTAGGCCTGGCGTCTAGGAACTGTGAAAGGACAAAAAGCGGCAGGCGAATGCCTGACGTCAATTTATGTTTCAAATTCTCTTCTGTAAATATGTAAGTAAACCTGTCGTACTCTTCTTCGGCTCTTCAGTCTGGTTCCCTCCAACAGCAGCCCTTCGAGAAGGCAAGGTTTGTGACAGCCTGCCTGGCAGCGAGAAGACCTGAGTGGTTGGTAAGACCTCAACTTCAATAGCACATATATCTTGGTTCACGGTTGTTCTTGTTATATTTCACTTCCATTGAAATGCGGCCACCGTGGTCGCTAATCTATCCCGCGCCCTCAAGAATAGCAGCACGATACCACATGTGCTATGCTGCCACGATGGTTTGCTTGATCAACGTCCCTGTGCATACATAATGCGGGCAGGGCGTACAAACGATGCCAGAAAAAAAAAATTGACGCAGCTACCACTTACTCTGCTTTTGTTTTTGTTTTGTTTTACAGCAGATGTTGACAGCGTGGTATCATCGCAGCACGGACTTACCAATAGGGGCATGTCAGCCAGCACTAGCATAAGCCCAAAACCCAGCACGCAACCAGAAAATCAGGACGACGAAGTTGCCATCAGGGCACAGTACTGTCCCTTCGATACTATAAGCATAGTCGCAGTCGACTTTGCAGGGCTTTTCTCCATTTTTTAGTGCTTTTATGTGAGAGTAGCCTACGGACAAGGTTATTTTTCTAAACCACAGAGCACTATTACTGTCATAATTGGCTTTTTGAGTTGTTCATTCCAAAATGAAGCACGGCAGCGGCAAACACACGTGCTCTCAGAGTGGTACACTGCGGCCGATCGTCTGGGCACGAGCAGCTGAGTTGTGTTGCGACTCTCGGCCAGATGCTCTTTTTCGGCGCGCCAGCTATCCAGTGCTGGTCTCCCATGAGTGCTAAAAAGAGGTGTTACTCGCACTAGTTTCTTTTTTTTTTTCAAAAGACAACAGCACAGATTCACCCTTTGCTGCAGTTCTGCCAAAGAACGTGAACAACAAAGAGAAAATTCTCACTGCAAAGTTACAAACTGACCAAACATGTGTTGGCTTGTGTCCACTAAGTTCTAAAGCCATGATTTCCATTTTTACAGAAGACAAACTCGTGCACACTTTTTGAGTAAGTACTCCTCATGCCACAGAGCATAATGTTCAAGCTAAGAAAGAGAAGTGAAGGACGTTGTAGGATAGCAGACAGAACTGAAGGGAATTGCACCATGAGTAGCAATTAAGATGCACCTTCTCACATTTTCGATCCAACAGCTCGTGATATATATTAGAAGAAAAGCAGTGGTAATTGATATTTCACACCCAGTTCTTTTCTCTTATGGTACAACAAATATCTTACTGTAATACAGTCAAACCTTGGTAAAGTAATGACAAATATAGCAGAGTGAACTTAAGATGTTTTGCAGAGATATATGTGAGCAATGAATACATATATGCCTTATCCCTGATAAAGATATAGCGAGTGTGTGTTTGTGTCAGACGTGACTTCCTAATGAGTTTTGACTTTACCATAATATCATAATAATTGAAATATGAAATCTATTCAAGCATGCAAAAAAGGAGTCATATTTCTCAGCCAGCCTTCAAAGGCCAAGAAACATCATATTCATGCTGCTGTAATGATATCTTGTTAAACACAGCATGTGAATTGCAGTGACTCCTGCATACCTTGTAGCTGTCAGTATGCTCACCAGGCAGAAAATCAAGGCACAACCCCGACTAGTGCTCAATGTGATGGGGCCCTTGCAAAAGATGGATGCAGCCAGCAATGTTTGAAAGAGGTATAAAGACACCTGCAACAAGTTAAGCAAATGCTTTGTAATATTCAGTCAAACAAGGGCACCATAAAACATTGCTTTTCTTGCATGCTGCTCTTCTCAAAAGTTTTCTTTTCCTTGCTGATTAAACCTACTGAACAAAAAGTATGTGTGACAGTTAATTCAGAGCTGAAGAAACAGAAAACCTGACTAATGGATTACTTCTGACTAAGCATGAACTATTGTGCACTGACACAGTTAACCCAACTTTCACATTAGTTGTGTGTTTATCAAGGGTGTGCTTCCAAGTGCATAGCATGCACTCTGGCCGTTCAGTCCTCATAGCTTGAATGTTGGTATCTGTCACATTGTCTGTTTGGGAGTTAGGCTAGCCTGTGTGTTTCTCGTGATAGTGGCATGAGCATTCCAAAGGCACTCTCTGTGCAGGTGTTTCCTTCACATGTTCATGACATTTCCTCAACCTGCCTGCCTCCAACCACTTCTGAGATTCACCTAGAATGGCAGAATTGGCCAACACATTTTCAAATGGTCAGTTCAGCTGTAGCTATGTATTTTCCGCCAAGCCCAGTGCTCTGCATCGACCAACCCAAATCGATTCAGCACCTGATGCAGCACCCATCTTCAAAGAACTGCAACACAACTCATTATGACACGCTGCTAAACTATCACTGAGACAAGGAGAAATGTGTGCAGCATCTACTGAGCATGGCTCCTTATTGCCTGCAGCTGCCGTACGGCACACATTCTGACTGCTTGCACTATGCAAGGCTGGAACGCATCATTAGCTAAAGGTCTCCTCGAACACACGAGGTCCCCACCACATGTTTTCGCTCTACTGGGTGTTGCTGTTGGCTCTTCAAGCTCAAGCAGAGTATGAAAAGACCCAGGTACAGTAGACTCTCATTAAACTGAAATCTCTTCAATGTAAATGCTGCTTAAATGGAACAACTGCCTCTAACAAGATTGGTTTTGCACTTGAATTCTTCCCCCTGTACCCCTCTCCGTAAACAGAACACATGTTAAACGGAACTCATTTTCCTCATTTAACGAGAGCTTACTGTAATGGCTTTTCACCCGATTAAAAGCCCTAGTGCTGGTGCACTAAAAAAGAAGTAATCTTTCACACAGAACAAGAATCTCAATAGGTTTCCTAAACAGCAGGATTGGCAGCCAAGATGCAGAGTAGAAAATAAAAACATTTTCACTCCTTGTAACTTGCTAGCAGACCAAAATAGTTGGGTATGCAGCCTGCTAGCTTTGTTCTTTTGACACTTAAGGGTACTACAAAACAGAGTTCGGCTTCCTTCACTAGTTCTAAAAAGCGGCGATTTTTCAATTCAGACTTTTTGGGATTGCTATTTTACATGTTGACTTGAGCATGGTACTGCTGCCCATGAAGTACTATAACAGCATCTCCTGCCCATAACCATGCGAAGCTTATAAAATCACCAACCTTGTTTTCAGCTACAGAAAAGCTGTTAGAGAATGGCATAAGGAGCCAAAAAACAGCACAAACACTTGTAGGACTCTTCAGTACATCCGATGCACTTCCTTCTCCAAGCTGATAACAGCAGCAGCATAGCAGCAAAAGTGTTCCAAGTACAGCCATTGCTAGGCCAGTATACATACGAGGGATGTCGAATGTGGCCCAGACCTAAAGCACAAATACGCAAATTTAGTGAGTGCATAAAATGGGCAAGTTAAGGCCATGGCAGCTACACTCCTGTAGAAGCAGAGTGTAAAAAGCACCTTTGTACTGACACAGGTTAAAGGAGACAGGTGGTTAAAAATGATCTAAAGCCAGTATCCCTTTAAAGAGAGCGAAGCTCAGGATACTGAACACCATCAATTATGTTTAAATTAATGCAGCTAGAAGAGTACTAGGGCTATTGTGGTTCGCCAAAATGTTTATATAATGCACTGGAATCACTCCCTAAATTAAGACCAAGGTCACTACAATGTAAAGCTATTGAAATTGATTTTTATTTCATATGTATTAATAGGGCTTCATTGTTCAGTGAAATTTTTTTTTGTATCAGCCCACTTCACCTGCCTGTCACAAGATATGACAAAAATACTTTTTTAGACTTCCATCTTTGACTTGAGGAAGCAACAACAAAAAAGTAAATTTCAGGTAAATTCTGTGCCACCAGAGTTTCACCGACTCAAGCCAATAAAGGAATAAGCATCGATAAAATGATGCCCTAAGTGCATGTTTTAGATTTAAAAAAGCCAACTGGAAGAAAAATTTAATGAAAAAAAAAACGTGAGACATAGTAACAAAGCATCTTAACTTTAGATAAAATGCACACACTGCTTTCCCATGATTAGCGTGACCAGAGCAAAAATAAAAAAGTTATTTTCAAATCTGTGCCCTTCTCATCATTGGCCCTATGCCACTGGTCAAAATTTTCCACGCTGTACCCACTTTGCCTGTCTGTCACACGACATCACAAAACCACAAAAATTTGCTATGTTAAAGCAATGCATGTGCATTAAACATGACTTATGATCAACAAAGCTAAGCATTTTGGAATAGCTTGCCGATAACTGGTGTTGGCTGCTTGAAGCCACCAGCCAAAAATGTATGATTTCTTCACATATGATTAAAATTTCATATGACAATGTAACTTTGTTGAGCTTTTTCGGCACACATGCAACAGTGCTCCGCCTGCTCTTCTCTGCTGAGAATTCTCCTTAAAAGAATTTGTGACTCCTAAAAAGTTTTTTTTCTAAGTAGACCTAACATATGGCTTAATGTTTTTATGACAGAATGTTTCAATAGCTTGATTAAAACACAAGACTGACTATGCAAAGATTATGAGGCAAGGTATAATTATTCATTATTATATAAACCTGTGTATGCAAATCCATGTACTAAATGAAAAAAAAAGGAGCTTTGAAAACCTTTGCTCATCATAAGCAAAAAAGTAATAGCAAGATGTAACAAAACTGAGGTCACCAAGAATCACTAGAGGGCTAATGGGCTAATTCCTCCCTGGAAACTGCCACTATCATTGATAAGTTATCAGAAACTAAGTAAGGCAATACAGTAGACTTATTGGAGATGCCGGCATCGATTTATTTTTGCTTCACATCACCACAAGAATAGCCCCGCTAAAACATTCTTCAGCTTGTCAGCCAGAGAGGTACAGAAAACGTGTTGGAGAATGCAATGTGTATTCCATTTAAAAGCAAGCAAAAGGGGCCTCAGCAGACTTTTATAGTGTTCAGACAACAGTGAAGTACAATAACATTACTCAATCCTGCACAAGATCAAAATTCTCCAGAAAAAGCAAAATCCCATTTCTGGCAGTTAGTATGAGTTGCTTGCCAATTCTATGAACTGATTTCAGTGTAAATCAATAGAAACTATTTGGAAGTAAGAACAAGAAGGTTGACATGTTAGTTGTACCATCACCATAAATCAAAATGTGAACACCAAAATGTCTGAAAACAATGCCTTTTACACATAATTTGGTGGGAGAGCAATATTTAATCAATCCATAGCCAGCGTCTAGACATGCTGTGGTGACTAATTCAGATTTAAGAGCCACGATGAGTGTAGCCCTTGCTATGAGTGTAGGTGACCTAGAAAATGCAAGATAGTATATTGATTCATTCCAACTTGTTTGCATTTGAATTTATGTCAATGGTAACCAGAAGGTAACTGTAAACCAGCCCAGACAATTAAGTTATACTTTTTTAGAACTCTGTATGTTTTCACAAAGCTAAATCTGTGTTAGTAAACACTACTATAAAAAATAATGATTAAATTTCTCCACTCCAATTCGATGTCCTAACTACCTATTTCACATAAAGAGGTCCACAAAAGCTACCAGATTGTTTGACAAATTGTCTCTGAATTTTTTTTTTGTAATCTAATCGGTTTTTAATTGCTCAATAGTTGGCTAGTTTAGGTTAGCCAATCTATATGCCATGGGGAGCAAATGCAAGAACTCTAAGAGGGTTTCATTTTTGCCTTTGGCATCCAAAAAACAAAGGGAGATAGCTGTACATAAAGATATTGCTTGAAGGGGCCCACCAACACTTTTGAAGCACCTATCTTTTTCATTTGTAGTTTTTGTAGAATGATGGCAGGGGGTAATTTTAGCATAGGTGTAAGCACCAGTATAAAATGATTTAGTGTTTCAATAAAGCGATAAAATCGCTACATTCATGCCAACTTCATTAGTGCATGGTAGCACTTGCCTGAACTACTGCGGGCAAAAATGACGGCTCAGAGAGCCAGCCTATGATCGGATAAATGCAACGTTACAAGCGATCATGACGTGGCATCAAAACTGAGATCACTCGTGTGTTTCATTATTCTTTTCTGTGCATTTCGATTGAACCCCAAGTAAGCACTGTCACAATAAAAAAAGATCACAACCACAAAGCACGACAGAGGCGCTGCCTGCCACTTCGCCTCTGAATTTTTCGCCTGCAAGAGTCGGACCTTCACAAGGCTTCTCTCCCTCGCCTCCTTTTCCTTCTGTACATTTGAGAGCTGCCTCCTTCTGCATGTGCCATAGACTCTTATTGTTGGACTATAAGTGGTGCAGGTAGTCGTCCTCATTGAACTGATGCCGCTACACCCTTATAGTACGTCGGGCGGCTTACTGAACAACCCGCATAGGGGAGACCATGCTTCACCGCCCTTGCCATTGCACAAATTTCCTTCTCTGAATGAGAGGAGGAAATGACATGAATTGTAACTGTAAGAAACAGCAGACAAGGCTTCGCTTCAAAATAGTAGCATCCACTCAAGTTATGAGCATTCATGCATAGGCACCATGTTTGTTAATATGGCAATGATGTCAACAATACATTGGAAAGGTGAAGCAACAATAGTTTACACGCTTGCCCTACGTAGAAGCTTTCTGCTCGTTTCATTAGGGCGACCTAAAATCTCACAGGGCAAGTGAAGTGTGGTTACATGACCCCATGAATATCAAGTCAAAAATAGGCATTTTTTTCTTGTATTACAGTATAGAACACTTATAACGTAACCTATATAGTGCAGAAGCGTTTACAATGCGGTATTTTTTTACTCCCGTTTACCCTCCCATAGAACCCCATGTATACGCATCCCGCTTATTGTGCAGTCCCCCCAAAATGAAAGACCAGTTATAATGCAGTTGCCGGAAATTGTTTGTGACAAACGCGGTAGCGAATGCCCTCCTTAAAGAAAGTGCGCTGAGTGCGCCGCTGGGGAGCAAACGACGAGGTCATTGCAGAGGGTGAGGGAACACGCAGTGAATGAACGAAGGGCAGAGGGAAGACAAAGAAAATGCAAAAAGACCGCGGGAAACTGTGCGGGCTCGTCGATAATGATGATATATGGTGTTTATTGGCGCAAAGGTTATGTGATGGCCAAAGATCGCCATGAACTATGATGACCGAAAAACAATGGTAGCTATTGAAGTGATATGAACAGGATACGAACAATGATAGTGTTGCGCTGCTGTAAAGAGGCCTGAAATTTCGCGCCAAAGGCAAGTTAGAACTCAAGAATATAAATATCATGGTGGTGACGTGAAACGCGTGGCGCTGGAATAAATGGCAGTGTTGTGGTAAGGGGCACCGCAGCCGCGACCTCTGTACAGGAGTCGAGCTACGAATCACCTCAGTATATGGGGTGAAAACTATGTACATCTTTTAAAAACATAAAAGTGATTGAAGTTTAAAAAGCGGATCCCTACCGATGAGTATGACAGGATGTAGTGGTAGCTGCTGTCAGTAGGGCAATAAAAAGTGTTTTTTCCTTAAATCATCTAAATCACTACACTGAACTAGGATGTGGAGTACCGTAAGTGGATCTCCACACCTCTCACAGATAGGTTGGTCATCATCAGACAAAAGGTATGAATGTGTACAGTGTGTGTGTGTCCTATCTTCAGCCTTATAAGTGTAACTTGTGTGTAGCGTAATCTGGATACTGGTGGCCAATTTCCAAGTATCGGTTTCATAACATGTAGTTTGTTGTCTGCTTGTCTATCTCATAGGCGCTGCCAGCACGCCCTGAGCTCCCGTCGAAAGAAAGGTTTCATGTCAAGTGAAAGGATGGCCATGGGTGTATTGGCGGGTGCGTAGTCATGCGCGGACACAGCTAGCTGATCTGCTGCCACGTTTCCAGCGATCTCACGGTGCCCTGGCACCCAGCACACAACAACATGTCGTTTGAGGGCATAGGTACTGCATAAAAGATAGTAAAGCAACACAATTACAGGATTTTTATGTTTTTAATGTTTTAAAAGCTGTCAGAATGCTCAGCGAATCTGTGTATACAATCGCGTGCAGTAGTTGTAATTCCTTAATATGCCTGACAGCCACAGATACCGCATGGGCTTTTGCGGTGAAAATGCTTGTTTGGGGGTGCAGCATACCAAAATTTGAAAAAGATTGGCCAACAGCTGCATAGAACACACCAGTGTGATAGTTCGAAGCATCCGTAAAAAATTCTGGGCAAGTATACTTGTGTTGGAGTTTGAGCAAGTGCGTGAGTATATGTGCAGTAGGTGCCTGTTTAGTCACCTCCACGAAAGATAGAACGGAGTCTATAACCTGCCATTGCCACGGTGGCAGATATACCGTTGGAGCCATCAAACAGCGTTCTACAAGTGGCACGGCTGTTTCCTGAGTGAGCCTCCTCACACGGAGTGAGTAGGGCTGTCCCAGCGAAGGACGGTTGTAGAATAAAGTACTGGAATTCGACAAATCATCAATTGAGGAGTGAGTGGGATATTCCTCGTCTGCGTTAGCCCTGAGGTAGTATGTATGCGCGGGGTCGCCAAGTAAAAGAGGAGAACAGTTGCCTCGGTGACTGACAAGCCTTTGCACCGGCGCTGAGGTGGCTACAGCGTACTACATCATTAGCGTGGCTTCGGCCGCGTGCTGCTAAACGTGGCATGTGCGATCCCGTCCTTATCAACTGCATGCGCTTAACAGTTTCTAGTCGGGAAAGGCATCGTCATTATCGAGCTTGCAACAAATATCGCATTTGCTTCCTCGTTCGTAAATTGAAAACCTTTTACGGTTTTATCATGCGTGCTTTCATTTTTGCTGCCAGTGCCCTGTTGTACGCAACCTTAGCGAGTTGTCATCGTTGCTGATCTCCCAGCCGCGAACGCGAACTTCGTATCACTCACGCTGTTCTTGGTTCACTGCTAGTGCAATCTTTTTGACACTGAATCTTCATGTTTTCGACAAACTTTCGGCGACAACATACCAAACGGCAAGCTAGGCCTAATCGGCGTTGGTTGTGCTTTGATCGGTAGCGGTCGCGTGAATCTAAGGTGCGGTTTGGTACCAAGTCAACGAAACTCTTTGCGGTGGCCGCCCTTGACGGGAAGAGGTACATATCGTTAATAAAAACGAGGGCGGCACGTGTAGTGCTTAAATAGTGGCTCGTGATTCGATTGCGATTTCTTGTACATGCCCGTGAAATCGAATGGTTGGCATCTTTCAACGCGTGAAATATGGAAGTGATTCGACATCGTTTCTGTGTAATGCGCATAATTGAGGCGGTCTGGTAGTCGGCGAATTTCCGCGATGGTGCTTTCATTTGTTAACCCCCCCTTCGCGTTCATTTCATTGGTGTCCTTGGATGTTAAATTCTTTTACCATTCAGAAATTCAATGATAACAAGCACGCATAGCATGTTTCGATTCTCGGACACGTGAAGCTGCATGCTAAACACGTTTTGCGCAAGTGCGGCCCTTGAAAAAGGTTGTTTTGGTTATAGTGCGGATATTTGTGACTCCAGCGACTTACGTTATAAGCAGTCTATACTGTATTTTGAATATTCTTCACCAAATAACTTCAGACTGTGTGCTGCTATCGCTGCCGTTTTTGCTGCACTAACCAGTCCAAACTTCAATCTACACAAGCCACTAGTAAAAAAAATGGTGCCCCTTTAACCTTTTAATGCCTGAATTATGAAACTCCTGAAGAAAATAAAAATTATTTTCCTTTTCCAGCTTTAAATAGCAATCTTTAAGTGATTCTGCAGTTAAGTTATATAAATTGCCACTTTAATACATACTTCTATTTATGTCACGAATTCTCCATATGCCACAAAAGTGAGGAACTTGCAAAAAAAAACATACTTCAGAACTACATAACATGTCATGTGCCATCTCTTGGGTTTGTACACACCAAATAAACAAAATTATTGAAAACATAATTTACGTCACACAGGTGAGAAATAACAAAGAATTGAGAGCTATCTCATGCGCTTCATGCTCTCCACCATTAGCTATAAAGCAATTGGTTCTAGCATAAAATACCTTTGACGAGACGGCGCTTGATTTTTTATGCTGAAAGCTGCATTTACTGTGAGTAATTGACAGCCGACATTAAAGACAGCACACATTTCATGACTAGCTGGCTTGAAGTTTTTTGGTATGTAGCGAATTCGCTACACTCGGCAGTACAGGGTCAAGGCGGTGTAACACTTTTCCACTTTTGCATTGTTTAAAACACACTAACCCTTGTGTGCTCATATGACCCTGTACTTGAAGTTTGTCCTTTCCTCTACCAAGCTGTGCACAACACCGCTCCATGACTGGAAAAGACAGGCTTATATGGTTTTCTGGTGTGTCTATGAACTGCAGTGACCACTTCTGTCAAGAGCGCTGCTGCCATTGACTTTCTCAAGTCAAGGTGAAGTGTTGAGAGAATGAACACTTTACAATACAAGGCTAAGCCTCCGCCTAGACGTCACATACATTTCAAAAGTGTGTCGTCAACTTCTATAGTTTAGCTTACCATTTTTGTTAGTGTCTCTCTAACTAATGATTCAGCAAAAGTAAAGTTTCAATAATGTGCCAACACGTGAATTTCACTTTATTGAAACTTACAAGTATTTCGACTATATGGGAAAGTTGGGCAGTCATCAATCGAAATCAAATAATTAACTTTTACACTATTAACTTCAGCAGGCTCATCACTGGGAAACTGTAGCAAGCCCTCTTCAAAATTCAAATCAGCTTTTGTATTTGCAAAAATGGGAGTACTACTCACAAAATGGTGTAACAAATTCAGTCTCTTGGAGCATGCACAACCAAAACTAGGCAGCTGAAGGGATTCCCTGGCTACCTCCATCGAGGTGACAATACTGCTCACATGAACCGGCAAGCAGCCATGCAGCTCTATGCTGGTGATGAATGAGCCAAGCGATACTGAATGAGCCACCACATGACAATATCTACAGTTCATTGAAGGTATGAAAAAAAACATCACCTCAAGAATTGCAGCCACACACTCTACAAGTTTTTTTCCTAATTTTTGTTTAACGAACTTCACAATCTGGTATTCAGCTTGCCACATTTCTGCCAATAATCTCATTTTTTTGGATCCATAAGTTGATGTGGCTTTTACAAGGCCTCACTTACCAATTACAGCGAGTATGTTAAATTCAAGTTAGCTGTAGTTATGTTTGTTAATTAGTGACTAATTACTATACATACCAGGCCCCGTGAGATTGTCATCACAGATGGAATATCACCAATGAAACAGTCCCCTTATCAAGATTGCTATTTTTTAATATTAATTATCCTAGTCACATAAAAACTGCACATTTTTATATACTGTACAAAAACTGTGGAGAGCATTAGTGCATGTAGTGTTGAGAACTTGCCTCCCGGGCTGCATGTCTTGCATCCTGCAGGAACGCCACAGAGGCATTAATGAAATTCCTGGCTGCTTCAACACTTCCTTGTCTATGAAGACATTGGTCCCACAGCTGTTGCAGCTTCTGCATCCTCAGTTCCGGATGCAAGGGGGTGTTAGGAACCTTGTCCAAGTAACGTGCAACCTGGACAATAATTCACCTTTTTCGAGTGCCATCACCCTTACTATAGACATAACTACTCAAGATTTCCCACGAAACGAAGAATCTCATTAAGAAGCATCAAATCATGAAAGTCTCAAGTACAACAGACAAAATAGAACTGGCAGAGCTTTCCAAGTTGATTAATAGGCGTAGGGTATGCAATGTAAGAAGGTATAACATGGAGCGAATTGAACACGCTTTGAAAAATGGAGGAAGCGTCAAAGCATTGAAGAGGAAACTTGGGATAGGCAAAAATCGGATGTATGCACTAAGGGACAAAGAAGGCAAAATATGGATAGGATTGTTAAAATAGCGGAGGAGTTTTACAGAAATCTGTACAGTAGCCAGGACAACCACGACCTCAATACTATAAGAACTAGCATTAACCCAGATGACACCTTACCAGTAATGATAGAAGAAGTCAGAAAAGCTTTGGAAAGCATGCAAAGAGGCAAAGCTGCTGGTGAGGATCAGGTAACATCAGATCTGCTGAAAGATGGAGGACAGATTGTGTTAGAAAAACTAGCCACCCTGTTTACGAGGTGTCTCCTGACGGGAAGAGTACCAGAGTCTTGGAAGAGTGCTAACATCATTTTAATACATAAGAAAGGAGATGACAAGGATTTGAAGAATTACAGGCCTATCAGCTTGCTCTTTGCAGTATACAAACTATTTACAAAGGTAATTGCTAACAGAGTAAAGAAAACATTAGAATTCAATCAACCAAAGAAACAAGCAGGATTTCGAACAGGCTACTCAAGAATCGACCACATTCATACTATCAATTAGGTAATAGAGAAATGCTCAGAATATAACCAACCACTATACATAGCCTTCATAGATTACGAGAAGGCGTTTGATTCAGTAGAAATATCAGCCGTCATGCAGACACTGCGTAATCAGGGCGTCGATGAAGTATATATAAACATCCTGGAAGAAATCTACAGGGGATCAACTTCTACCATAGTGCTTCATAAAGAAAGCAACAGAATACCAATCAAAAAGGGTGTAAGGCAGAGAGACACAATTTCCCCAACGCTATTTACCGCATGCTTACAAGAGGTTTTCAGAGGCTTAGAATAGGAACAGTTAGGGATAAGAGTTAATGGAGAGTACCTTAGTAACCTTCGCTTCGCCGATGACATTACATTGCTGAGTAACTCAGGGGACGAATTGCAACTCATGACTACGAAGTTAGACAAGGAGAGCAGAAAGGTGGGTCTTAAAATTAATCTGCAGAAGACGAAAGTAATGTACAACAACCTCGGAAGAGAGCAGCACTTCAAGATAGGTAATAGTGCACTTCAAATTGTAAAAGACTATGTCTACTTAGCGCAGGTAATAACCGCGGAGCTGAACCACGAGACTGAAGTAACTAAAAGAATAAAAATGGGATGGAGCACATTTGGCAAGCACTCTCAAATCAAGACAGGTAGATTGCCCCTATCCCTCAAGAGTAAGGTATATAAGAGCTGTATCTTGCCGGTACTTAGCTATGGAGCAGAAACCTGGAGACTTACAAAGAGGGTTCAGCTTAAATTAAGGACGATGCAGTGAGCAATGGAAGGAAAAATGGTAGGTGTAACCTTAAGAGACAAGAAGAGAGCAGAGTGGATTAGGGAACAAACAGGGGTTAAGGATATCATAGTTGAAATCAAGAAGAAGAAATGGAGATGGGCCTGGCATGTAGCACATAGACAGGATAACCGCTGGCCATTAAGAGTAACTAACTGGATTCCCAGAGAACGCAAGCGGGTTAGGGGGAGACAGAAGGTTAGGTGGGCAGATGAGATTAAGAAATTTACGGGTTTAAATTGGCAGCAGCAAGCACAGGACCGGGTTAACTGGCGGAACATGGGAGAGGCCTTTGTCCTGCAGTGGACGTAGTCAGGCAGGATGATGATGATGACTCATGCATGGAATCAATTCTGTTTGTTACATGACACAATCCTCTCCTGGCAATGTTCCCTAATTGCACCCCCTTGGCTTTTTCAATAATAACAGGACAAGTAACTGGGCTAGATGACACCTGAGAGATATGATTCACAATGAAAAAAAAAAAAAAAACAGAAGGAGGTCAAAAATGAAAAACAAATAAAAAGTAACAGACAGAAGTGTCTGCTTTCAACTATTTCGTAAGTCTTGGGTTTCACACTTGCACATCGAGAGTTTTCACACTGAATAATTCTGTAGCCTTATAAGCCAATGCAGGTTCTGTACTTCTAAAGAAACAGCAAGAAAAAGTTATAAAGTAATTTATGTGATGACAATAAAGTTTTTGTAGTACATAGAGATGCAAACATTCAATCAGTAACTTTAACTCTACACTTGTTCTATTAAAACTGTCCTTTCTAAGAGTGGAACATGCAGCCATAAATTGAACAACCATAGCATTTCACTTTTAGAGCTGAACATATACCAGGATGTCCATTATTTCTAGAGAGTCAACTTTCACTGCTGGAACCTCTAGGGACCGGTGGAAAGAAAAAAATAACCATTGCAACAATGCCCTGCCTGTTCTAAGAGCATGCTTGCCACTACTGTCCAGTCACCATAACTTTGCCACGGCCTGCTTTGTCATCAAATTGGCAGCTCAGAGTGGGCTGTACAGACAACTGGCAACAAGGGTCAATATTGACAAAAGTGTATTGAAGAGTAATATTCTAGTTCATAGCAAAGAGGCATGGTGATGGATACCCAAGTTGCAACATGCCTTTTAGACCTCAGAACAGTTAAAAGCTATAAATAGAGGCCCGCAATCATGCAGAATTTCACCTGCTAAACAAAGCCATAATAAACAAATACTCTCAAAGAGTCGGCCATCATCATGATGGAAAGGTAAATATGAGAATGCAAGTAGCTAGAATGGTGTAAATATCAGACTAAATGAACATGTCTATTCTGAGCTTAAGCATTTACCTGTTGAACATTCAGCCAAAGTGGAAGCAGCTGCCCTGGGTCAGCGTGGTCCCCGTCAATGCCCGGAAAAGCTTTTAGCAGTAGAGCGCCGAGGTTGGAATATGGAATGGGCACATCAAATAGCATTGCTAAAGTAGGCACAAGATCCACCTGGGCTATGGAAGGTGGATGTGAAATTTCTCTCTGCAAAAGAGAGGGAGAATAAAAAGAAAGGTGAGGTTAACCAGGGCTGAGCCCCGGTAGGCTACCCCACGCTGTACAATTCACCAGAAGGTACAAGTTGTCTGCACTGCTGCTAATAAGTGACATGTAAGTGCGACACACATAGAATATCTGCTGCGGGGAAAAAAATATTCTTTGAGAAGGATCCAGAGAAAAATTCCTACTCACAGTGCACACTGGCACAATTGTTTGCAAACTACATTATCACCATGCAATCTAAACACCATAATGTTCTGTTTGCTGTGGCCACACCTGTTGAGAGGCCTTTTAAAACACACGCTGTTATTTCACTAGTACCACATCTAGGACACTACAATGCCCTACACTGTACTTCATGCATATTACTATTGTCCATTTAGGGCATTATTTGCACACTGGCATTTGCCTGCTCTTGTTACATCTTGTGTATCTTTACTGCTGACACTAAAGATGCTTGTGTTCACAAGCACAGACACACAAAAATGGCACAAGTGGACATTTAATAGCCTTTACTGTTGTAAAAATGATCGCACAGTCACTGGACACCCAATAGATGTGAGTGAGCTGAAAGAGCACTATGTGTCATGTTTAGTGCACATGCTCCATGGCTAGTCATATGCATACAATGTTCTCTAAAGGCTACATTATACTCTGATGTTCCTGGAGTATGCACATGCGGTGGTTGCATTCTTGTCAAGTCAAATGAGGGATGCAGCAACGAGCAGAAGCTTAGCTGCCCTACAGTCAAACTTGTTTCAGCATTACGTAGCAGCTGGAGTTGCAGAAACGCATACGTAATAATACAAAGGGCATGCAATGCAGCCTGTCGTAAAGCCGTGAAGCAGCTCCTCAAGCTGGCTGGAGCAGGTGATTTTAGTGTGGTTTGGCACAGCCTGCGCAATATGCGGACAGCTCTATATGAAGCTGAACAACATGTGAGCAAACCAGGAGCCACCATTCATGCCAATGGTCAGAAGCCGCCAAACTGTACAGAGTGGCACATAGGCAACATAACCTTGCTGCACCGCAAAACCATGCATTTTGTTGGAGTACATTAGTGCCTTGAGCTAGTTATCTAAACTGTAAGTTGGGTTGTCACCGTGAGTATTATCAGGTTGGCTACCCAAGCGCTTACCACCGAACCTTCGTTGTTCAGGGGTGACAGAAAAGGTTTCTTGGCATGAAGAAACAAGACTGCTTCTACTTCATCTTCTGTTTCTCCCCCATGGTCACCATCAATGGTCATTCCGTGATCACTCATCACCAGGAGCAGTGTGTCGTCAGTGATTTTGGAAACCACTGATCTAGCAAACATCAAGGCAGAGAAGAAGTGCAAAGATGAGATAATGAAGTTCACAACAATAGAGCCAGCATTACAATTTTCCACTGCCACAGTAATAACCTCCAAAAGCATGCTCTACCAATTAGCACTAATAGATATGACATGGAAAAATGTCAGCGTTAAGCTAGCTTAATCAGACATTGTACCAGTATTCTGAAACACTTCAAGTGTCTTTGGCCAAGAACTCCCAGAGATGTAGTAGTTTCAAAGAACCTATCTTGAAATAAGTATTTTAGGTTAAGGCATGATTATTGTTTAAATTAAATAAAAATAGCAGTATATAGAAACATTTCCATGATAAATAAGGAAATAAAACATGTGATAGGTTAATAACAGGGTTTCCTAATAAACTGACATTGAATTTTCAAATATTGTACAGCACCTAGTGTATAATGGCACTGTCTCTTCTGCAATGCATTACAACCCCCCCCCCCCCCCCCCCCGAGATAGGATAGATGTACATGCACATTGGCAGATGCTGTCCAATGATGTCATGACAACTATATCAAAGCGGCGACATGGCACACCTTGCTGAATGTGACAACAAAGGTTGGTCATACTGAGCGCTGGAGCCCAAAAAAGATCGGCACAAGAGGCTCATTTTGTGTGCTTCCTATATCCTTTATTCTTTCCCCTGAATACTGAGCAGTCTTGTCACTGTGATGAAAGATTAAAGGGTACTTAATAGACACTTATGCACCAAAAGCCTACATGCACGTGCTTGTACCATCAGTTCTGCACAGTTAGACAAATTCGAGTTCAGTGTGCCAATGTAGGTATTTCAAGCCGCAGTTCTATGAGTGATCAAATATGCAGGCAGTGCAGACTAGCCTATACTGTCATCTATTCCCATTTAAAGGAGTGGGCATGCAAGCACAAACACAAGAAAGACGTAAAGACAACACAAATGCTGGCATTTATGCCGTTGTGAGTTCTCTCTATCGTCAGTGTTTGTGTGCGCAGTCTTCTAAACACGGATGCTCACTACTATCTAAGAAGCTCTCTGCTATCGCAAGCTCTATCCCTGGTGTCCAGGTATTGTACCACAAATTCTCATCCATGTGGTTGAGGGGCAGAGTAAAAAATAAACCAGTCCCACACATATTGGCATGGTGGCAACAAGATATCAGAAAAAAGCTTTTGATATAAACACTGCACAATGACAGCTAAGATTTTTTTTTCCACAGAAATTATGAAATCAGTTGCTGTACTTCATGACAATTTTTGCTTAGTCAGCAGTCAATTACAGACAACTGGTCACAGATGACTTGAAGTGCACTTTTTTAAAAATACGAGAAGCATCATGCGAATGCAAGGCTGTTACTGCCTTCCCACCTTATCGCCTGGTCAAGTTGAGTGAGCTTGGCAGCCATGGCTGGATGATTACGGCCAAGCCAATGACCACAGTGGTCAACGCCGAGGAAGTGGGCCACCAGAACATCCCATCTATTTGGATTGTCCAGCTCTGGATAAAGGTGTTGTAGCACAGCACTGTCGACTGTGTGTAAATCCTGCAGCATACCAAAACAATGACCTCTATGCACAATAAAAGCCCACTAACTGCATTCTGTTTCAAATGTATTACACAACTTTATTGCAATATCATTTTTCAATATTTTGCTTTGCACAGCATGCGTCACATATGTGTGCACACACCTTTTTCACCCTGTTTTTATACCAGCCAATGAAGGACGAATGACGAAACCACTAGCAACTGTGAGCTCACATTTCTGTACTCACACGATGCTTTCGTGTGCTGATAGTGGTCATACAGGCTTGATGCAGTATATCACTGCCCAGCATGTGCTCTTATTTATTACATTTATTATATAGCTCGTTCTTGAAAATATATTACAATACTTAAGTCCCTAATACAGCCATCTGTAAACAGAGACACAGTAGAGAGATTTACCATCCTAGTGGAGTGCAAATAACCTAAGCACAAAGGCTGCAAGTTTTGTTTGTTTTTGTTCTATTCTAAACCAGTGTGTGTGTGTGTGTGTGTGTGTGTGTGTGTGTGTGTGTGTGTGTGTGTGTGTGTGTGTGTGTGTGTGTGTGTGTGTGTGTGTGTGCGTGTTTAAACTTCTGGCGGCTAGTGTATGTCAATCTTTGAATTACACTTCAAATTATGCTTAGTTAGTAAATCTAACACTTATAAGGCCTGTCCACAGAAAGTGTAAAAGGAAGTAAGCTTGTTTCTAACAAACTTAGACAGCCCTTTAACAGCACACCTGAATTTCAGCTCTTTAATGCTCACAATTCTCAGAACGAGCTTCTGTACAAGCTTCGACGATATTACAAAAGTAAAGGAGATCAAGCAAGTTATTTGACCCTAGAATCATTTCAGACAATTACGTTTTCTCCGAAGAAAAAAAAAGAATACCGCCACAAATATGCAGTGAATGATAACCGAAACTTAAGGCACACCTAGAATACGCAATAATTGCAGACTAAGCTCGCGGCACTGACAGCAAAAGCATAAAACTGCCAATACCTTACCTTTACAACAAATGAGGGGTACGCGTACGCACGGGCGAATTTGCCAGGGAAAAGGTTGACCCAGGCGTCGTCGCCCATGAACACAACCTTCTTGCCCATCTTGAACATCTGATTGATCAAATTGTCTTCCCGCACCTCACTCTGATAAAAATTAGTACCAGCGTCAATAAAAGTCGGTAGTCCTCCAGTCATCAATGCCTTCAACCTCTGCACTGTTGTAGTCGGAGCGTCCGCGACAAACTTGAGCAACACAGTGCGCTGAGCGCCAGTACTAGCAGACAACTCTGAGAAAACCGGCATCTTGTTCCGATAATGCTCGTTTTCATCCCACGGGGGTCCATACTGAGCAAACTCCAACTTCAAGGCGTCTATTAGCAAAATTACGACTTTTTTAAATTTCGCCGGATACCAGCACCGTGGGCTGGGTAGAGCAGCCGTGGATTTGTTGGTGGATCGGTAGAAGCCCGCGATGTCGGAGCATTCACTGTGCTTTTCGATAGCTTGCCTCTGTAGCAGGAAGCCGCAACAAAACAGGCAGACACCACATACAGCAATGCCTAAGGCAACTGTCAATAATACCGAGCGGTACATCTTTGTACCATACAGCGAATGCGATGCGAGCGGTCACCAGTATAATGAAGGACACGCGAACGTACGATCACCGCAAGAGCTACGGCGGACAATCTCTGTTAGAGTCCTGCACTGAACGGTTTAGCACTTTCCGACAGCAGCCATTGCAGCACATCTAGATGCGGCAGATCTCTTGCCAAGATGCAGTGACGATGCTAGAAGCAGCATAATTACAGCGGTGGTCGCGAAGCATGCGATCAGAAACCATTCAAATGCACTGCTCACAGCAGTGGCATCTTCGTGGCCGCTTCTCTGTTTTGGCTTGGCTGAGATGCCCTAATGTAATAGATCCTTCAAAACTTAAATATGGTTCAAAAACCATATAAAAGTTTTTTTTACTAATAAATATAAGTTATTTTTTGTAAATTAATTATTTATTATAGTTTAAGTTGATTTTATATTGAAATACGTATGTTTTTTGGTAAACACGTTTTTTGGCTTGATTTCAGTAAATTGAGCAGCCACCATGAGCAGCGGGCGGCAAAGACCCGCGAAGACCGCCAGTTTCGCGCGCGTCTGCGGTCGCTGCGTGTGCGGTCAAGCCTTGTGATTCTATTCAAGTGATCGAGTCTTCATGGACGACGCGCTCAGTGCGAAGTTCCAGAAAATCGAGAAAATTGGCGAGGGGACCTACGGTGTGGTGTACAAAGCCCGCGACCGGGCCACCGGACGATTCATTGCCTTAAAGAAGATCCGTCTTGAGAACGAGGTCGAAGGTGTACCAAGCACTGCCATACGAGAAATCGCCCTTTTGAAAGAGCTTCGCCACCCAAATGTTGTGCGCCTCCTCGATGTCGTCCCATGCGACCAAAAGCTGTACCTCGTATTCGAGTACATGGCGGAGGACCTCAAGAAACACATAGATAGAGCGGCGTCGTGCAAAAGCTCGCTTGCCGTGAACCTTGTGAAAAGCTATCTGTGGCAGCTGTTGCAAGGCATCGCGTACTGCCACTCTCATCGCATCTTGCACAGGGACTTGAAACCGCAGAACCTCCTCATCGATCTCGAGGGTAACATCAAGTTAGCCGATTTCGGCCTTGCGCGGGCCTTCGGACTGCCTCTACGCGCGTATACGCACGAAGTGGTGACGCTGTGGTACCGGGCGCCAGAAATCCTCCTCGGCTCACGCTTCTACTCGACATCTGTCGACGTCTGGAGCATCGGCTGCATTTTCGCCGAAATGCTTACGCTGAAGGCATTATTCGCGGGTGACTCGGAGATAGACCAGCTTTTCCGCATCTTCCGCACTCTCGGCACACCCGACGAGAGCTCTTGGCCCGGCGTGACCAACCTTCCCGACTACAAAGCCACTTTCCCGCGCTGGGAGCCGCAGTCACTGGCGAACATTATCCATGGCCTAGACCCCGACGGGGAAGACCTCATCCTGCAGCTACTCGTCACCGACCCGGAGGCCCGTGTGCCAGCCAAGAGAGCGCTCAGTCATCGCTACTTTCGAGACGTCACCATTCAACGTCCCGTGTGCATGTGACACTTGTCCGCATGCGCGCTGGGTTTTTCATTACTCGTTTCTTGATAACGTTGGCGCATTTCCCCCTCCCCCTTTTTTTTTCTTGGTTATTCCAAGTTGCGAGCGAGAGTGCGCGGTTTAATTTTGCAAGATTTACAAGTAAGTGAACGTACTACGTCCCATGGTGACAGCAGAGTTCCGCTGGCTAGTAACTTTGCTGAGTTATTGTTCGTATGATACTTCTTCTTTATAGCGCCGTAACTAGGGCGTGCGTAGAGTTACTGTTAACATGAACAGTAACTCTAGGCAAGCGTACTAGGATACTGGTGGCTCCTCCTTATTTTTATGCATATTAATCTAGTTTGTTTTGTTGTTCTTTTTCTGATTACTTGCTGTATTTTCATTTCACTTTAAAGGAGCAAGGTAGACCGCGTGGTTTCACTAGGGAGTTTTAGAATAGCGCCCCGCAAGTCCTTGCGGGGCGGACGCTGCCACTGCGCACGCGTCGTAATGCGAGTCGGTGATCGCGGCCCGCATGTAGCCCGCAAGCGCTCTTTTCGAGGCTACGGTGTCCCTGCGACCGTGCTTTGTGGTTTGCAGCGGGGCAAACGCTATTCTAAAACTCCCTACTATGTACTATTTCCAATGAGGTTGTATTTGTGATCTATGTTTTTACTTATGCATGCACATTCCCCAGGGCGACACCACGGCGCCGCTGGTAATCGTCGTTATCGTTTAAATTAGCCCGCATGGCGCCGTTACCAGAGCATCCGTGCTGGCATACTGGTGGCCCACATCATTATGCACATTTATATGCACATTTATGTACACATATGTTTTCACTTGTTTTATGATAGCGCGTGGTTTTTGTGTGTTTGTTGTTTTTTTTGGGGGGGGGGGTCTGCTATCTTTGATTAGCATGCTTAGCTATATTCACATTGCTTCGATGTTGCGAGCCATAGTATCATGTATTATTTGTCGGCAAGTGATGGATTTGTTTGCACAACACTAGAAACCCCGCAGACGCGGTGCGAGGCTGTGCACAATTCAGAACGCCCGTACGCAGGCGCAGCTGCCCGCCCGCCTGCCGATCACAGTCATTATGATTACTATATGAACGTGAAGACTTGATTAGCCTTTTTTTTTTAAGGTGACAGCACAGCGTCGCTAATATGAAACTTTCCAGATCATCGTTTGTGTTCAAAGCATGGGCTTCACATAAATATGCATTCTGTATTTTTTTTTGTATGTGCCTACGGGGATGTTTTTTTTTTTACGTTAGCCTCAGACAACAATAAACGTTTTTGAGGCTGCGTTATTAAATCTTTGGACATCTTGTAAAAGTGCCGCATATGTGACCTCTATCTTACACGCGGCATTTTTTTTTCTTGCCGTGAAAAAAGTGTGCTACGTTAATTTTCCTTTTCAAGTACATTGGGTGTGCTTGTACATACATGATCATGTCGCAGTAAATAAAAGGCCTGATTCTGAAGACATCGGCGCCCTTTTAGATCGTCGTGATTCGCGGAGCTTTTATCATCGCTAGTTAGGCTGCCCTATGCGAGTAGCGGGGGCTGAGCCATCCCCACTCTTCCCTCCCTCTTTCCGTATCCCCATCGCTCTCTCATCGAGGATACGCCGCCTAACAAAGGCCACGTTGTCGGGGCTAGGGGTCTCACCCCCGTATTCACAAACGCCCCTCGACTTCCACCCTTCACTTCAGCAATGCGCCAAGTTCAGCAATGCGCCACCGCGCGGGTGAAAATGACGCTGCGCTTTTAAGAATCGCAGCAAGCCCCGCCGCGGTGGTCTAGTGGCTAAGGTACTCGGCTGCTGACCCGCAGGTCACGGGATCGAATCCCGGCTGTGGCGGCTGCATTTCCGATGGAGGCGGAAATGTTGTAGGCCCGTGTGCTCAGATTTGAGTGCACGTTAAAGAACCCCAGGTGGTCGAAATTTCCGGAGCCCTCCACTACGGCGTCTCTCATAATCATATGGTGGTTTTGGGACGTTAAACCCCACAAATCAATCAAATCAAGAATTGCAGCAATTTATCACTGATATGCAGTGACGTGCCTAGAGAAGGCGCTCCCATCGGCTTTCTCAAGTGAAAAGGTTGAGTGAAGGGACGTTGTAGAATACGGGGGTCAAACGCTTGTTGCTGGCATTCTCGGTTATGCGTTGGCTAAATAAATGTGCGCGAGACTTCACGAAGTCAAAGACTGCGCATGGCTTACACGAGCTCTTATTCCCATCAGTAAACGCGTTTCTCACACTTGGGTATGATCTCAAATAAAAAAAAAATATTTAGTTGCTGAAATGAAAACTCGAAGCCATGCTCAACCTTTGAGCTGGTCAGGCCACGCGCTTCCGTGTTGCAAGTAGTTTTGAGTGAGTGGCCGCTCAGGTGTCAGTCCCGCCAGAGCGTCGGGACTTCCAACGACTACCGTACAAAATTGGGGCTTCGCGAATACATAACACTGCATACGTTTGAAGTGTTCTTTTACGTCGGTTACCTCGAGCAACATGGTAGAGCGTGGCCATCGTTTGACTCAGGCCTATACGCGATAAATCGAGCAACAACAAAAAATTATTCCGCCTGTTCGTTTCCCTTCGCTGTGATGTTGCCGCCTGTAGTTTTACCGTTCGTGACGTTCAATTATTTATAATAAATTGTACAACTCGAAACGCGCGGTTCTAATTATCGATAACCCGGTGCGGCAACTCTAGCCATTTCTAACACTCTAAGGCAAACGAGAATATTTAGGACGCCTTCGATAATCATCTGAATCGCTAGCCTTGCTCTGAAATTGGGAGATCACCGCTTTCCCATCAAGAGTGCTATGCCACGCTCAGAGCCGATCGTGACCGAGAAGTATGCCTCAAGATGCGCGGTTACCTCGGTAGGAAAGCACGCAAGATAGATTACGGTTGTGTAGCAAAAAGACGCCCCAAATTTGCCCCCCCCCCCTTCTTTTTGTCTGCAAGATATCTAACAGCAGTGCTTTCAATAGCGTACTGTTTATGTCTTTTTTTTTTTTCGGGTGTTCAAAGTCGACTGCAAGTAACCGACCGCTTTGCCTGTCGCTCGCCGCCTGAGACAGCGCGTCAAAATGATGATGACGCAGAATGAGCCCCAACAGCAGCATGCAGACGCGATAGTGGGGCGATTTCGTCCAGGACATTCTTCTATCGCGGCAGGTCAGGCGGGTAGCCAGAATGTTCTTTATTTGTTGTTGTTGTTTTATGGGGAGGGCACCCTTCGAAAAGTTCATTTCTTGCTCTCTGTGCTATGACGAGAAAAAAAAAAATTCACGGGGTTGGGGGTGGGCACGGGTGTAGTGCTAGTTCATTACAACACGGGCTCTGTGTGCTGCGTCCCCGCGGCAGGCTGATCGCACTGATAACGCGGCCAAAGCGCCAGGTGCGCCGCTCTGTAAAAAGCAATAGCATTGGCATGAAATGGTTAAAAATCTTGGCCCTTCTCGTACCGCCTCGAAAAAACGCGCCGCAGCTATCTATCGCGCAAGATTGTTTCGGGCAAAAGCCGAAATGTGGTGACCGCTTTTACTTCACATGAGTACGTTGTGCAACGCTGAATGCACGACGTGAGAACGTGAAAGAAATAATAATAATTCATCGGGCTTAACGTCCATAAACCACCACATGATTATGAGAGACGCTGTAGGGAAGGGCAGTGTTGTATCCGCTACCAAAAAAAAAAGTAACTACATACGTTACTCGTTACACCAACAAAAAAAAAAGGAACGCGTTACCGCCCTACGTTACCAACAAAAAAATGTAACGCGTTACCGTTACAGTTACCGAAAAAAAGTAACGGACGTTACCTCTGCCGTTACTCAGCAATAATAAATAATAATCAGTTTGTTTTTGTTGCAGGAACTCCCGGTAAGGATGTTTTAAAGGTCTCACTTATTTTTCACACAAAACTTCCAAGTCAAACGATGATTTTACCAAAATGTTGATTTAATTAGAATTGCTTATACAAATGCACTGAGCATTAGCAATGCCATAGAGCTTTACGTTAGTTGCCTCTATAGTTGCATGCGATGGCTTCATACTCTAGCACGTGCTGAAGCTATTTATCTCAACGTCCCATCATACACAATACGAGATTCAATCATCAACGCCTTAACATGAATTCCCACAAACTAGCCCTGTTGTCTGTTCTCGCTCCGCTAAGGACGCATCACCGGATTCTCAACAAATTTACGGCAATACATTCAGCATGCTTCTGGAAAAACAAACGCACGAAATTTGTAGTAGTAAGGAATTGTTTAAATGGCCTTGTCGCCTGGGAATATATTTGTGCATAAACATTTTTTTTTAACCAGTTCACCTACCGCAAACATTGGGCGCGTTTATGTGAACGTGTTCGAAATCAGCCTCGCTCGCTCAAGAGCTTTTTAATTGGAAACGTAGCCCCACTTGCAGAGAGAAAGAAGCACAATTTATTTTCTAAACAAAGTTCATAAGACACATGATATTTACAACTTGACATTGAATTTAAGCAACAGCTGCATTTCAAAGTTGTCATCAGACGGCTTGCCTCGCTTCTTGGTGAATACGTCCGCACCTAAACTGAATAGCCGCTGTAGAGGTTCTTGAAGGGAAAAAATGAAGAAAAAAGCGCGGAACTCTTGCTGTCTTTCAATATGACGTCGCCTTCACGGTTCCGCGCGGGGAGGGGGAGTGAAAGAAGGAGGAGAAGAGAATAGGAAAAGGCGCATTTGATTGTGTCGCGCGGGTGCGCGCTGCCGCCGGGAAAGAGAAAGCAGTGCACGGGGCGGGGACTGGGAGCACCACGTGACGAGCGTCAGAGGGAGCGGGCGCAACCACGGATGTAAACAAACACGTGAGTACGGGCCTCGCTAACCATTACAGAGGACCATATGGTTAAACCATTAACCATTTAACCATTACTACACCATATGGTTAAATGATGTCTCACCAACTAGCCCAGCTCTCAACCCTACTGAACTACATTACAGAGGACTTAGGAAAGCTTATTCGCTACCACACCGAACACTAAATAAAGAGGAATCGGTCAGCTGGAGGCAAATTCAAACCGGCACGTTTCCAAATTTGCACATCCTGAGTAAAATGCACCCCTCGGCATACTCTCCTCTCTGCCCATGGTGTTCAGCTAAAGCCACTCTGTACCACGTCACGTGGGAGTGTCAGGCCATTACAGCCTTACAACCAGTACAAAATCCAACAGCGGAGCGATGGGAGGAGCTGCTGGCCAGCGAGAACCTGGAAGATCAATTGAGTCTGATCAACCGGGCCCGCAGAGCGGCTGCTGCAAGCGGAGCCCTGGACTAAGGGCCCCCCCACCGCAAGCCAAGCATGTCCGACTACTCGGAGCTTCTCCGCAGAAAATTTCATGTAATTAAATAAATAAATATGTTTCCACCACCACCACCTACGGGCCTCGCTAGAGGCGCGTGATCGCCGAAGAACCGAAGCAGGGCCTCGAAGGCCAGCACGAGCTTTGAGCGAGAGGCCTGAGAAAACCGCAAGTGGTCGAGGCTAACGTGTGGCAGTTCTAGACGACCGTAGGCGCCGAAGAGCCGCCGGCGTTGTTCGGCGTGGCCAGGGCACTGCAGCAGGATGTGCTCGGTGGTCTCCACCGCCGGGCATTCGGCACACGAAGGGCTCCCGCTGTTGGTGAAGCGAAAGTGCCTCTCAGCGGAGCGGGAACAGTCAGTGCGAAGCAGGAGCAGGAAGGCACGAGCACGCCGGCCGATGCCGGTCCTGTACTACGGACCACAATTTTTTTCCGTACAGAGATTACGCGCTTCGGCGAGTGCTTCACGCGCTTTCTACGACGTGCCAATCCAACCCGTTGTCCTCCTCTCGATGACAATACCTCTCCGGCCCTTGGGAGCTTTCCTAGTCAGCCGCGCATGTCGCGCCGGGGCTTGTGAGTCGGTTGCGGGAAGCCGATCAAATGACCCTCGCCTCTCTCTTTTTTTTTTCTCCAATCTTACCCTCCCTATATCTTTTATTCTCCATACCCCATTCCTGTGCTGACCTGTTGAGGTGTCCTTGTAAGGAGATACAGTTACGGGTCGGCACTTTTCTCTTCTTTTCTTCTTATATATATATATATATATATATATATATATATATATATATATATATATATATATATATATATATATATATATATATATATATATATATATATATATCGGCAGCGATCGTGGGGGGTTTCCCGTGGCCACACGTGGGTCTGGGTGTGATGCGCGCAATACGGAGATGCGCAACATCGCTCGACAAACGCACTAGATAGAACTCCTGTGTTCACTTTTAGGGAGAGCTGCGTGAAAAGTTTTCCTTGAGTCCACTCAGCACGATGTCTCGGGTTTCTAAATGGTACCGAGAGAGTTCTTCGTCAGTCGGTGACGACGTCGTACAGCCACTACCAAAGAAATCCTCTTCCGTCGAGCTGGAGCTCAGGCGTGTCGCTGTATGCAGAGTCTT